ACCACCAACCTTTCGGTTAACAGCCGAACGCGCTAGCCGATTGCGCCACGGAGGCCACGTGACCTATTGTATATTAATTATATCATTATGGTTGGTTAAAGAAAATAAAATTAAAAACAAAAAAATGTTAAAAATGTTACTGACACACAGAAACAATTTAAAAACTTTTAATACAAATAATTTCGAAATAGAATACGTTATGACAATTTTGACAATTTTATTATATATACAAATATCTCGTTGATGATATAATATTACGAAACTTATTTTTATTTTTATTGAAGCTCAAGTTAAATTAGTTTCTTATCGAAGACTTTTGCATGCAAGGTTAGGCGAAAATCTAAATAATTTCCAAGTAATCATAGAGAAATTTCGAGGATACATTTTTTTCTTTCTTCAATAGAGGAAAGATTGTTCTCTGAAGTGATTGCTAGAAAAGACTTAAGAAATGATCAGATTTTTACAAGCATTCGAAATATACGTACTTTTATCTTTTTACTTGTACTTTTTATCTTTTTATTATGTCGTAATTCTGATAATGAACGAATTATAAAATATTGTCATCTATTAAAAAACACTAAAGGAACATTTATTTTTTTTTAGCGCGAATAAAAAAAATATTATTTTAAATATTTATAAAGAAAAAAAAAATAAAGAATATGAAAAAATCAATTAATGATATAATAAAAATTGCAAGAGTTTTTGAGAAATTTTAATAAAATATAATATTTTACGAATATTTAAGAAAAACATAATTTCAATCCATCGCTTCAAAAAAAAAAAAAAAAAAAAACAAAAAGGCATTAGAAAATTTTTTAAAAAATAGACGATTTTAATAAGAATATTATTGGAATAATTCACCAATTTTTTCACTGGAATGAAAAATTATCGACTATCGACAAAAAATATTTTAGAAATTTAATTTTAAGAAAAATTCATATCATAATATAAATTCATATCATAAATTATTAAAAAATATTTTTAAATTTAATTTTTAATATTACGAAATTTAAATTTATTTGACGAGAATAGAATAATTTTTTAAATGATAAGAAAATAATCGTTTGGAAAAAAAATTATTTTCAATTAAGAAAAATCAATTGTCATATTATTTAGATGAAACTTGGATCAGTATATACAAATATACGAAAAACTCAATATGAAAGAATTTGATAATTTGATCATAATATCAACACGAGTTGCATATTCCAGCAGCTTATCAACTGGTTTAAAAAATTTTTCCGTAAAAAGGAAACATTTGATAATTACATATATTAATCATGGTTTTAGAAAGTATATTGTCTTTTGAATTGAAAAAGAAATTGTAAATTAAAAATGAAGAAATAATAAGAATAAATAGCAAAATTTGAGGAATGATTTTCAAAAATAATTGAAAAAATTGAAGAACATTCAATGATTGTAATGGATAATGCTCTGTATCATTCCTGTAAAATTTAAAAAATTTCCAACAGTAGATGGAAAAAAAAGATATTCAATATTGGCTATATACAAAAAAAATAGATTGCTATATATCGTTAAACAGCAAAAAATAAATGATATTTATATTTATATAATAAATGAAATAGTTATAAGAAATAAAAACAAAAAATGTAATTAAGATTTCTATATATTAAATATTTTTAAAATAAAATTATATGTATATGAGCGCAAATAAAAAATTACATTACAACCAAAAATATTTTAAATTTTCTGATATGTAAAATGTAAAATATGTAAAATATATATTTTACGAAATAATGAATATAATTAAATTGCATAAAATGTGTTATTATAAATTTTATAATTATTACAAAAATAAATTTTCGCAGTTAGATAGAATAATTGAATCAACAATAAAACCATTTATTATATTAAATTTAAATCATTCTAATGAAATCAGATAAGTAACAAAACTTCAAAATCAAATAATTTCAATTCAGAATAAAAAAATATTAATTGTATATAATTATATATATATTTTTATATTATATTTATTATTCTATTATTAAATATATTTCAATATATTTATTGAGAATTTCATTCTTAATAATTAGATAATTAATAATTAATAATTATATTTGAAACCTGCTTTGCCTCATACATCAATCACATGTTTATATCTATTGATTTGTTTCGTTAGATCCAATATAATTCATTCATTATAAATTTTTGTTGTTATCATATTATGTTTATATTATAGAATAAGAGATAGTTCTTTATGCATATGCAATCACGGACATATAAAATTCTACGTGATAATAGTACGTGATTCTATGTAATCTTTTTTTTTTTAAAAATATAATATTTTTTTTGAAAAGCATAAACGCGCATAAAAAAATGTTCTTTAAAATATTGATTTCTAATATATTTAAAAATCATCGAAATCAGTAAAGAATTTTCTATTCTGAATGGTTATTGAAATGATTATTTGATTTCATGATATTGATTTCATAAATAGTTTGTATCTTTTATATCTATTATTATATTATAAAGTTTTTGTTTTTTTAATTTTTTGATTTAAATTATAATTAATTGTATTTTAACACGAGAATTTTATTTATTGTTTTTTTTCGTTCTTTCAATATTTTATTATAATTAATTTTTGTTTGTTTGAGTTGTATAATAAAAAATATAAGCAATATTTATTATAGTTATATTATATCTTAAATTATATATAGAAAAAATATTCCTACATATATAAAAGATTTGAGAATATGAAAGAAAATATGAAAAAAATTTTAAGAAAGAAAAAAAAAAGATAATGAAATTAAAAAAAAGAAAGCAGAATGCAAAGAAAAATGAATTAAAAGAACTAGACGAAAAGATAATGTAAGAAGAATCGATAAAGAAGTTATTTTTAATTAATTAAGTAAGTTAGAAAGATAAACACAAGATGGCAGTAAAATAATAGAGAGGAAAAAAAAAGAAAGAATAAGAAAGGATTTCACAGAACATATGAAGACAAATGTGAAAATCGTTTTATAGAAATAAAAGAAAAATTAGAGAAGAAAAGTCTTATATTTATTTTATTTTCTTCTTATGTTTTTTCTTTTTGTATTTTATTTTTAGTATTTTTAAAAACAAAAGGAAATATACATAAAAAAAAAGAAAAAAATATAGAGGTTAGATAAGAAAAAAATATTACAATAAAAGAAATGATAATTTTTGTAGAAAATATAAAAAAGCAAGAAAAAATATGAACAAAGAGAAAAGAGAAAAAAATATGTAAAAGTGATAACATTAAAATAGCAATTAAAAAAGAAGAGGAAGAATAGAAAAAAATCAGAAAAAGAAAAAGAAGAAAAACGAAAAAAAGAAAGGAACTAAAACAAAAAGTTTAATTTTTTTTAAATAATTAATAAAAAACAAAGAAAATAAAATGAGAAACTTAAAAATAAAAATTGAGAAAGGATGAAAAAAAAAAGAGAGAAAGAAAGTATAGAAGAAAAAAAATCTAATTATTAGAACTATTTATTTTAAGATTAATAATTCTGAATAAAAAAAATAAGATCTTGGATAATCTAGAAAATAAGCTGGTAAGTAAAGAAATTTATAATTTGTGCTAGAGATAGAAAGATATAAATATTACTATGAAATAGAAAGAAAATATTGAAGAAAAAAACAATAAAAGAAATAAATATAAATAAATTATTTAACTTATCAAGAATATATTATATTTGAGATTGGATGCAATTAATTGATTAAGATCTTATTGCTTATTTCTTCTTAAAATTTTATTCTTTTTTAAATTAAAAAAAGAAGTAAAATATGTATGTATATATAAATTAAATAATAAATAAATAATATAATAAAGTATAAATAAATAATATAAATAAAGTATAATTAGTTAAATGAATTTTAGATATTAAAGAAATAATAGTTTAATTGAGTGGCAATTGGCAGTTATATATATCTTTTTCTTTAAACTTATTATGTTTTGTGAATATTTATTTTGAAATAAATATAAATATATGTGGATTGAATTCTCATGTAATTTTGTTCATATTTGATTATATTATGTTATTTTTATTAATTTTGTTTATTATATTTAGATTATGTAACAAAAAATATTATTTTTGGTTTTAATTTTTTACTAATTTTTTACTACTTTTATTTTTCATTATTTAGTTTTTTATTTTATACTGAGATGTGATTAATTATGTTTTTCTTTCAGAAATATATAATAGAATCCAAAAGAACAAATAAATGGCTTTGATTTATAATATTAATGACTCAGATGTACTTTGAATGTTTCATTCAACAATTCTGAACAAAATTTTATGATTTAAGAATTTACTGCAAAGAAGGTATTTTATAATAAGCATTATGAACTAAATTAACATTATGTATTTTGTCAGTAATTTTTAATATAATTGCTTTTATAATGTTTCTGACAATCTGATATATTGTAATAGAAAAAGAAAAAAACATTGATGATTTTTAATCAATTTGATGATTCATATAAGGAAATGCTGCTAGAGTTTTTTCACAAAAAAACATTTTCTCAAGTACTAAGCATTTGTTAATGTTTAGTTTTATAAGATATATTATTAATTATTATAAGATGAAAATAAAATCTTGTTAGTCTTGTTGTCTTGTAGTGTCAAATTTATATTTATCTTAAAATTGTATATTTATACAGAATATTGCATAAATTCTATAAATAAAGATAGGGAAATTCTATGGATCAAAATAAGAATAAATTTTTTTTATGTGTAATTTTATTTTCGGGTAAATCAAGTTTTCAAATT